TTGACTACTCGTACGAGGAATGAGTCCTTAAACGCAGACGTGTTAGGTTTATAGGGTCGCACACGGTAAGAGTGACCCCTAGAGATGCCTATGGTAGGAGGGATTTCGAACAGGTCGAGTTCGTACCCGAGAAAGAGGCGCTTATGGTATTTGAGCACACAATATCGTCATTCATTGAATTTGTTGCATTTAAACTCGTTTAACTTTTAAAGGGACACTCTAGGTCATGTTGACTTTACCGTCGAGGTGGAACGTGCCTTGCGTGTTCTTGATGGAGCGGTACTTGTCCTCTGTGGTGTGGGTGGCGTACAGTCCCAGACGTTCACAGTCAATAGGCAACTGAGCAGGTGATTTTTTTAGCTCGTATTTCCTTCATCACCGAAAAATCATGTAAGAATACAGATATCATGTGCCTTTCATCTGCTTCGTAAATAAACTGGATCGCACTGGGGCAACACCTCTTCGTGCTCTGGAGGGTCTACGCAATAAATTGAAGCACAACGCTGCTCTCATACATCTCCCTATTGGGAAGGTACGATTGAAACGTTCAGTGCTCTTTGTCGAGACCTAAACACCTTTCACTCTTCTTTGTGCAGGATTCTGGTTTCCGAGGAGTTGTGGATTTAATAGAGGAGCGAGCTTTGTATTATGAAGGTGACGAAGGACTAACCGTTAGAGTAGATGATATTCCTGAAGACATGCGAGCACAAGTGAAGGACTACAGACAGGAAATGATAGGTTTGTGTAAATCATTTTGGATGAAAGGCGCCATAGCCCGTCTTGCTAATCATTATGCTATAAGAGCGTGCTGCATTTGGATAGTGCTATACTTGTTCTTTTTTGTTATTTTATAGCTAAATGCTCACTTCGAAATAGTAATTGTTTGTAAATTCAATTGATTCAGAGCATTTGGCGAATGGAGATGACCAAATTGGAGAATTGTTCTTGAATGACCAAAATCCTAGCGTGGACCAGATTCACGCAGGAATCCGACGATCTGTAATTAAGGTTATTCCTTAATAATATGTGCCATGTCAAAGACCTAATTTTAACTCTAACTTTCAGAGAACTTTCCTTCCAGTCCTAAGTGGGTCGGCTTTGAAAAACAAAGGTGTTCAAACAATGATTGACTCTGTCGTACGATATCTTCCTGACCCAAGCGAAGTAGTGAATCGAGCAGCCGTCAAGGAAGGAAGGTATCTTTTAGACCAAACGACGTTCGTCTTTCTGTATTTTTCCTAGTTTTTACTTTTTAGTGAAGAGAAGTCGATCATTCTGTCTCCTGTAAGAAGTAATGAGAAGCCTTTCGTTGGGTTGGCGTTCAAGCTTGAGGTTTGCTAATATATACATTCAACTTTGCTATTTTTCTCAGAATTTTTGAGACTCTCTCCCTAGCCGTCCATAAACGTTACTCTGTTCAGGCTGGAAAATATGGTCAGCTGACCTATTTCCGTGTGTATCAAGGTCAACTCAATAAGGGTGATACTATTTTTGCTTCTAAAGATGGACGTCGAGTTCGAGTGCAGCGTTTAGTTCGGATGCATGCTGCCGAAATGGAGGTAGGAACGGAATTCCGCTTCTGATGTAGTACCGCTTCGAGATGTACGGAATTTTGGAGAAATTGTTTCGTTATAAGTTAAACTATAGTTTCTACTGCTCTGAAATTTAATCACAAACAACTCTTCCCAGTTTGTAATCGAAGGCGTTTCTAGATAGAAACCAATAGTGAACTAGTAAGTATAAAACTATAACAAATGTCCAAAAGAGTTTGTTAAAAAACGTTTGACTGGGTCGTTTGACTCAACTCTTACTCTTAGACCGTCCCTGAAACTCTTCATATTTTCAACCCATCTTGAACGCTTAAGAGTTCTGTATTTTCCTTGGATTCCTATATTCCGATGTATCTATAGGGCTTTTTGTTCTACTATACCTCTAGTTGGTTTTGTAAACTCATCCAATAATATGTATATGTACTCTTATTTGATAATGTCTTGCACCTACAACACTTCCCACTGATCCTGCTCTTATTTCAAGGAGATCGATACGGCTTATGCTGGTGACATTTGTGCTACGTTTGGGCTAGATTGCCATTCAGGAGAGACATTCAGTAGCGATCAAAATGTTCAGCCACACTTGGTAAGTTTTTTTTTNTTTTTTTTTCGCTTTTCCCATTTTCCTGTGAATTTGGTTTTTCTCATAATCGCCATGAACTTGAGGAATCTATGCACATACCGGAGCCAGTCATATCCATGTCTATCAAACCAGTCAACAGAAAGGACGGAGATAATTTTATCAAGGTTATTTTGAAAAGATATATTTTTTCAGTCATTCACAAAATGTTCATTCTTGTCAAAGAAATGAAGTAAGCATTGTTGGTCGTCTGTGGGTACAACTACGAATCAACTACTGGCTCAGTCAAGCCTTGTTTGCGTTGATTTCTATGTCCTACTTACTGGCTTCTTTATTTTTTGAGCTGTTTTTTTTTCTGAAAGTAGAGTGGATGATTCATTCAATGAAATTACCCACGTATTTTCACACGAAGTTTTTAGGCTCTCACTCGCTTCACCAAGGAAGATCCTACATTCCGTAGAGAGTACAACGCAGAAGCGAAGGAAACCATTGTTTCCGGCATGGGAGAGCTCCACTTGGTAACTTCTGAGCTCTGAACTTTCATTGAAGGTGAAAGTCTTCTACGTATATCATTTATATAGGAAATTTACGCACAACGGATGAAAAACGAGTTCAATTGTCCAGTCGAATTGGGAAAACCAACGGTGGCCTATCGAGAATGTCTGGCCAAGCCATATAAGTAAAAGAATCTCTGTTTGACGCTGATTTCGAGGTGCAACTCAAACTTTCATCGCAGGTTCCACTATCGACACAAAAAACAAACAGGTGGTCAAGGTCAATTTGGTGAAATTGAAGGGATTATCGAACCACTTCCTGCTGATAGGTGCGAAATTAATTTATTTTCTGTTTGCCTATTCAGTTTGCTTCTTTTTTCTTCAGGAACACGCAAATCGATTTCACCGATGAAACTTTTGGGAGCAATATCCCGAAATCACTTTTCCCAGCTCTCAAGAAGGTATGTATTTGAGTTAACGGCCGTATAAACTATTCATGCCCATGAATCGAAGTATGTTGTGGAGCTTGGCTGACTGGTCTTATTGGGTTGATAATGTTTTGATCATGTAGGGTTTGGACATGATTGTCGCGGAAGGGCCTCTGATCAAAGCCCCTGTTGCGGGCATCAACGTTCGCATCCAAGATGGAGCAACGCACGCAGTAGATTCCACTGAAATCGCTATGATCAATACGATGCAAAATATGATGCGTGAAGGTGAGATTCTTTTCCAGCTATGTTTGTTTTCTATGGTCATATCAAGCGTACCCTTTGCAGCCTTCGAAAAAGCTGAGTGGATGCTTCTTGAGCCCATTATGACTGTTGAAGTTACAACTCCATCAGAATTTCAGGTTAGGATTTTTAGTGATTGATTACATAATCGATAGTACCTTTTTCTTTTGCTTACTCTTAATCCAGCGACTTATCTGCGCTTGTATGAAGCAAGACGTCATTTAGGGTAATGTGGTAACATCTCTAACACAAAGGAATGCTCTGATCACTTCCACGAGTTCAACAGAAGGGTATACCACGATAGTTTGTGAAGTTAGTTATCTGAGACGTCAAGTTTTGTACATTGAAGGGAGTACTATCGACAGAATTTTTCAGTGCCCGTTATCTGATATGTTTGGATACACTTCCATGCTACGTTCGTTAACAGAGGGAAAGGGCGAGTTCACAATGGAATACGCAAAGTGAGTTTTCTGCTTGATTTTCTATTCATTATAATACTTTTCATTTCAATTAAGATCATGATCGTGTTGCGTGTTAAGCATTTCCCTTTCCTTTAGGTATGCCCCAACAGCTCAAGATGCTCAGGATGATGTAATCCGTGAATGGCAAATTCTGCATGGTCTCATAGATCCTAATGCTGAGAAGGGTAAAAAGAAAAGGAGGTAACAGGGAGACATTAAGAGAACATTCCTTCGCTCCCTGACTTCCTTTAATTGCTTCCTCAACTGATGATTGTTACTTAGGACTAGGATACATTATAGAAGACATAGATTTTGTTAAATGTTGTTATTGTTACGATTTGAAAATGTTGTCAATCCAGAAGCCGATTTTTTGGCCTACAAAGCAGTTTCTAAGCGATTGTACATAGTGTGCCGCAGAGCAAAATAAATTTTATTTTTAAAATGTTCTCAGCAAGAAATGTTGTCAATGATGTAAAGACAGAAGCAAATAACATGTATCATCCTTATTATTTCGCTCGTATGAAATATAAGCCAAATTAAAAAAAATCTTTGATGTCTGTTGACGATACTCTGGAAAACACAAAAACAACACGTTCCGATCGATATAAGGCTACACTGCTCTACAACCGCTGTAAGTATTAGGATGTGAGGATGAGGATATCTACGTAATGAGAGTTTAGATACGTGCTGAGACACCAAAACGACCACGAAAGGCTCCTCCTGTTACTTATCAGGGTGTCAGAGTTTAAGGCCTTTTTCAATTCCTTCGCCATTCAACACGGTCCTCATGGACGCTTGCTACGGGTACGTATCGCCACTCTTTGTGGAGGTCCCCTTGAAACACTGGACATGGTTACTCAAGTGGGTTTAAGTAAATGGTAACCTGTGGTGAGTGCGGGGGTCCGCGTAACGGCGCAACATTGACCTTGCTGAGAAGAGGGCCAGCTATATCTTTGAGCAAGGTATCCACGTAACGAAGACCAAGTTAATTGATCTTACCAGTTTGGAAGCTGCGAGGAACCCCAGAAGGTCGTTTACTAGTATACCGTCAGGATTGTTGTCGCTGTTTTGTTTACCATTGAACTGTAAAATCAACAGTTTGAAGTGCGTGCATCCTTGAATCCCAAACGCGATCGATTGGAAATTCGCGTGTGTGAAGGAGAACTGTATAATGATAGTTCAAGTGGCTTGACGATTCCCGTGCTACGATTTACTCTGCTGGTAACGAAGTGATGATCGATGTTATGGGTGGTCCTACATTTACTATTCATGTAAAATCACAAACTAAAGCATGAGACAATATTTATACACGAAAAAATCGACAAATAAGGGGAAAATCGCAGAGAAAAAGAGAAATAGCCTTGAATAGTAACACGTTTATGGTTCACAAAACCCGATTCTAGACAATGATGAGGTCAGGAATGGAACAAGTCAAGGCCAATACGGCAATTAAATCCAAACCAAAATAAAGTAATTGATCAAACTGAATACAAATCAGTTGCCTCTCGAGGATCACTACAACAGTCGAACAGTGCCCTGTTCGACCTGTTGCTGGACCGATTGAAACGGTAACAGGTGTACGGTACCCTTCTCCAATTCGACGACCACTTCGGCAGTCTTGTCCTGATAGTCAGGTACGATTGCTGGCTCAGCGTTATCTTCTAGTACTTCTGCATACACCTGAATTATAGGTATCACAACAGTTATGCTAGTTTATGTGATCTAATGAGCATTCCCCAAAACCTCAATTATGAGGACACTACCAAGTCAAAGATCAGTGGTTGATCGGCCACTAGTTTTCAGTCCACAATGGAACTTCCTTTGATAGAGACATTAGGCTCCAGGGCCTTGTACAAGAATCAAGTAATTAACTGACCCTTTCGCATTCCAGATCTGGGATAGGAACAGGAATTTTGTGAAAAGATGTCTGCAGCCGACCTGAAAATCACATTTCTTCTCAGATAAATGACACTAAAAATAGGAAGCTGGCGATGGCTAGGAATCCTACCAAGGCAAGTTTTCCCCATCAGCTGAGCTTCAATCTTTGCATATCTTTCGGCAAACGTTTTTTCCTGCTCAGAAAGAAGAGCTGATTTTCCTGAACAGAGCAGTAGAGAAGCTAATCAATACGACCGAACAATCTCGATCAACAGGCACAAAGATTTTCGATGGTGCTCAGAAAATCATATTTAATACCTTCTTTTAACCGTTCCACATGGTCCCGAATAGCTCGCCTGGGGTTGCTTTCAATTTTTTGTAGGCGTCGCCTCATATAATCATTGGTTATATAAGTGAGTCTGTGCAATTCTAATCGATGAGCAGAAATCCTAATGCTCGCCTGAAACACTTGAAGTGATCAACGAAAGATCTTCCGACAACCTATGCAGTAAAATACAATGTTTTGTGTTTAAAAAAAGGAAAAAGCCTGTCCCTAGGACATCTCAGATGCGATTAATCAAGCATTAATGATGTCATATCAACAGAAAACCATTTTTTCTTTCTTTCAAGAAGTCCGCATGTAATGAGTATACCAAATGCCGAGGACAAATAAACCAATCATACTAGTTAAATAAAAGACCTAACCTTATCTGTTCTTCCTAATAAATTCTCTTCCATTCCCTCTATTTGATCAACTAAGCACTCGACAATATCGTAACGATGTGGTAGAAGGCAAGGTGCCGCCATTTCATTCTGCCACGCAAGGCGCATTTGTCGAAGGACCTGGTAGGAAATGAAGTTCGCTAGTATTTGAGCACTAACTGGAAACCGACCTCGTCTGGGGTGATTTCCTCCTCCTCAATCGCATTTTGCGTCTCAATTCCAGCTGATGATGAGTGTATTGAAGTTAGCGTATCAGGAAGAGCCATACTGAAACTTCTAGCTGATCCTAGATATTTGCGGTTCAGACCACAAAAAAGAAGCTGATGAGGTGCTTGAACTTGGAAATTAACTCATAAGGTGGAACTTTCAGAGTACGAACTTTCGATACTCTAACATTATTGACAGACTTGTCAGTGAGAAATGAATGGATAGAAGCTCCAAACAACTCCCGTCGGGTCTAGGCATCTGATAGGCATAGGCATAGCCCAATCTTCAAATTTGACGCTCTACCATCAACAACAAATATCTCCCACCATATTTCTCCTGCTTTTACTGTTACAACAATTGCACCAATTCTACTTTCATATCCATAATTCTACGTGAAACATGTGGGCGTCTTCACCATTGCTCATTTGAGTATTTTAATTATCATACTTAACCCAACCATCTCCTCTGGCTTGCAACATCTTTTCCGCCTCTTTAAAACATTCAAAGTAACTTTTTTGACTGAAGGTAACGATATGACAGCTCCGTACCCTCTCATATGGCTTCCGAATACCGACGGGATATTTACAATGCGCTGAACATAGTTGGTAAACCTCATGGAACATTTCAGGAACAAAAAATTTATTGTCAAAACATTGATAGAGACAGATCAACGTTAAACTAGAGGAATTGAAACATTTTGATTCATTCAAAAGAAAATGAAATGAGTCACTTAGAATATATGAAATAACGAAAACCACAGAATGAGAGACCTTCAGAGTCCGACATGAGAACCGGTCATTGAGAATGAATTACAAGCAGACGTTTCCACCAATTATGAATTAAATTACTAACTATCTACAAAAGTTAGACAACTTAATCAAAATGCCTTACGAATAGAGAATTGATTTAAATAAAAAGGAAATCGCTGAAGTATTTGGTTATTTAGAATGCGAGGATGCGGTTGCATAAGTACAGACATAACGTTGCTCCTCATTCTGGCTGTTTCACTTCACCCGGTTGACCTGGAAAATATGTTGACCACCCTGATTGGATGCCGAAATAAGCGCACAACAAAATAGGGCACAAACAGTGATAGCATCCACATTGGAAAAANAAAAATTCAAAATACAAATTCACTGGTTACCTTGATGCATAGGAGGAGTGGCAGCGTCGGTCATGTCCAACGGTGGTGGCTGAGCAGCTTGTGGTGGATATCCAGCAGGTGGCTGCGCGTACTGCTGTGGAGGATAACCAGGATGCCCTGAATCGATTTCTCAGCAAGATGTACCACAGATTCCGCAATAACACACAGTTCCAGTACTTACCCTGAGGAGGATATCCAGGGTAACCCCCTGGGCGTTGTGGCGGTGGCTGAGCAGGATAACCAGCAGTTGGTTGTGCTTGATATGGCGGACGCTGCTGAGTAGGATATCCGCCAGGTTGTGGCTGTGGCGGGTATGCACTTGGACGTGGCTGACCATAATAAGCAGGAGCACCTCCTTGTTGAGGAGGATACCCAGGATGAGCTGAAATATAGGATCCTTTCAGACACATGCTTATATCTCACCATATAAAAGTGAAACCAACCTTGCTGAGGAGGATAGCCCTGATAGGCAGCTTGTGCTTGAGGTTGCTGAGGATAGCCCTGTGGAGGATACACTTGAGGTGGTGGATAGCTAGGCTGTTGTGTAGCCGGAGGAGCTGAGGGATACGTTTGAGGAGGGGGCGGTTGAGCTGGTGGAGGAGCCGGAGCTTGTGGCGGTGGCTGCTGGACAACTGGAGGCTGACCAGGAGTTGGTGCACGAGCTGCGGCTGCCGCTGCTGCTGCTGCCGCCGCTGCAGGAGCTTCCGCTGGTGGCTCTGTCTTCTCAGGAGCTGGAGCTGAAGTCAAATGATGCCTTTCAACCACTTATGCCAAGTTCGAAACGTGGAAAAAAAGTAATGCGAAACATAAGATAACTCACCTTCCTGAGCAGGTGGGATTGCAACCTGCACTTGTGGAGTAGGTTGTGGTGGTCCACTAACCTCGAATCCAGGCGGCAAATTGGGAGGCAGCTATGAATAGGTTTACGTTAGCAGAAATGCCGTACCTAAAGCAGGTGAAAACACTTACCTGTCCAGCAGTGACCAATTTACTGTGGGCCTCATGCTTGGCGCGTTGCTCCAAATACCTCAACTGATCCATGTGGAAAGCTTGTCGCTCGAGAATAAGCTGTTGTCTTTGGTACTCTAGCTAAAATAAACAGTACCAACTTTTGGAAAGACTGAATTTATAGCGGATGCAGCGACGTGGTCAAAAACTTACAGCTTCCCGTTCTTTGTCCATTATTTGTTCCAACTCATCAAAGTGACGCAGCTTCATCTCCAACTTCTTCATTTGTGTTTCTACAAGCTGGGCAACAAGCGACTTGATACGCCTTTCCTCGATTGTAGCAAGGTGCTAAAAAGAGAAAGCAGAGAAAATGTACATTAAGAGATTATTTTGCTTTCAGTAAACACACAAAATCAGAGTAGCTATAATATATACGATTTTAGATTAAATTAAGATGAATAGTTTGATGAAATGAGACTGAAACGAAACAAATTGTGACATACTTTTGCCTTCACAGCCGCCGCTGCAAGAGCGGCTCCAGCAGCAGCTTGCACACTTTCGCTTACGGCAGCCTTAGCATCTCGTTCCGCGGTAGCCTCGTCGGTCGACTGTTTGACCTCATCGGTCTCCATTTTTTCTTCGCCTTCCTTTTCCTTCTTTTCATCTGTGGCGATTCCTGATTTGGCTAATCCGACGGTTCCATCAAGAACGCCAGTCTTTTCTTGGTGAGCTTGGACATTTTTAGCATGCGCTTCTAACATCAAAGCAGGCACCTGAATTATATTTGAGATCGCATTAAGACTGAATAATCGCGAAATAAATACATTCTAGAAAAAGTACTCTTGGGAAAACTAACCTCATCCTTGATCTTTGAGAACTCTTCGATAGCAGCTTTGGTGGCTGCTTGAGCAACTTTTGGGTCTACAACAGAGGCTAAGAATGCGACCGTGGACATTACCGGATTACCAGACTGGGAGAATGGCAAAGGTTGGTAGGCCAATGGTCCTGAATACAAATGAAATTAAAACCTAGCAACCCCTCATAAACAAATATGGCCTGGTACTAGCTTCATTTCGTGCCTGCAACATAAATTTCAAAGTTTGCGAATACCAACCTAAGATTGAATCACCACTTCCCGGCCCATGTGCATCGTCGGAGCCCAAGTAAGGGTCTTGAATAGGCAGCTGGAGGAAGCGGAGGATACATTCATCCTGTGTACGAGAACCAACATGGTCAGAGACCTTAAAAACTTTATTTAATCGGTTCCTTAGCAATTGGAAAACACTCAAGTTATCCAACGACACTGTCTTGTCGCCATAGTCACTCACAAACGTACTTTAGTGATTCAGCCATTTTAAGAAGTTTCAAATGCAAAAAGATTACCTTGTTCCAGTCATCCTTGAACATCTCTAAACCTTCCAACAGCAAAAGAGTCTCTTGGTCCGTCCAGTCACGCCCAGGAGCAGCTCCCTT